TCCCATTAAAATTTAGATCCTGCAGAATAAACTAAAAAAGATAATTATGAGAATATATAAGATCTGAGATCTATATCTCAGATCTGAAGACGGTTTCATTACATATAGACACACAGATGGAGACACACATCAAAGTGTTCATCAGAGGCCAGATACACTATGGATGACAAAATGTATATAGGAGAAAAAAACAGGATCTCACTGAAATAAATCAAAATCTCCTTGCCTTACAGAACAGTTTGAAATTTGAAGAGGACCCTGAGCTGTGGCAACGATGTATTTAGAGAAGATGTCAGATGTGCGTTACGGCCCGAGTGTCTCCCTGCTCAGTCCTCTGCTGTTGCCTATCCTGTTGTCACACCTAATAAACCCGTCACTGTTCTATCTCTAGTGTCTTCTTCTTGGTGAACCAACTGGTACACCCTCTGGAGTGTGCACAGTGAGAGTCTTATAGACAAAGTTGAAAAGCAGGCTGAAACAACGGTGCTGGGGGCCAGCAGCAGGGATGTGCACTGCTGACAGTACTGACTGCAGGCGAGCCTGAGGGAGTCTTGCACGTTGGTGGGAAGGGAAGGAATATCCTATATCTAGATCTATGTGATGTTTGTGCTAATTTATTCTAGAGACATTCACTGAATGTCTGCTGCCTGTCAGTCAGAGAATGCCTCATGACCAGACAGACAGGTGTCTGTCCCCAGGAAGTGGCCGATTCCTAACAGTGGGGAGGATGAGGGGCCAGCAGTAGCAGTGGGAGACCCATGAGGAGGTCCCACAGTGAACCATGCAGTACAGTGCCCTTGTCCTAGGAATCCCGTGCCCCCCAAATCCAGGAGGACTCTGAGGGATGCTTCCCTGGGAACCGAGATTTCTTGATGAGTCCTGAGAACTTAATCCTCTGCAATTTCCTTAGGAGAGATGGGCTTGGCAGACGTAGGTGGTGACGGTCTCCCTGGACAAGGCTGGGTGGAGCAGCGGGCCTGTGGCCTTGTGCTAGAGAGGGACAGGCAGAGAGGAGAGAGAGAAGCTGAAGGAGAAGGAAGAAGGAAGAAGAGGGGGAGGAAGA